CATCCCTAACTCCAAAAAGCCATTTTGTCTGTTTGTGCGTAAGCAAACTGGACAAGCCCTTGGGATTTTAACTCAACTTCATGGGAACCATCAAAAACCCATTGTTTACCACAGCCTTACCCTTGACCACACTGCAAAGGCTTATCCCTCTTGTCTTCAGGCAACAGCTGCTATGCTGCAAAATGTGTTGCTGCTTCTGCTGCGCGCTCCCTGCTGGACCTCACGGTTCCTCATGAAGCACTGACGTTACTAGTGAGAACACACAGCACTCTTCAGCCAGCAACGCTAAGTACCCTCTTAGGAGATTCTGTCGGTATCTCCCTCTTCCATTACCATTCACCGCTGCAACACCCTGAATCCTGCTCCTCCCAAAAGAAGGGGAGCCTGGTGATTGTCTTCTCTCGGTTACAGAACTCACTGAGGTAAATGAGAGACTCCGCTTGAGAATGCTGACCTAATATTATCTGTTGCTGGGTCGTATCTCAACACTGAAACTGGACGTTATCAAGCAGGAGATGCTCTCACTAGTGTAAGGGCCCCTTTAGAATACGGTCCTTCATCTGAGGAAAAACCAGCCCCGCTGGCACAACTGGCTGTGCTTCCTAGAGCACGTGAACCAGCCAAAGACCGGAGAGCACGCACCCATACAGAGAGCAGACAGCCTCCTGGAGCAGCACACGGCTTTGGGATGCTTCGGAAACAAAGCGGGTTTCTCACTTCTGCTGGAACCCCCATCAAAAATGGACAGCAAGTTAAGGAACTCTTAGATGCACTCCTACTTCCTAGAGAGGGGGCTATTAGAAAGGGGGAGGCCCATGTTAAAAAAGATAATATGGAAGCTAACGGAAATGCTCTAGCAGATTGTTATGCCAAATAAACCTTTTTAATCAGCTTATGATCCCATCTAAACCCTCAAAGGATAAATCTCTGGAGGGATTCAAAGAGGCCATTATAAAATATCAACATTTAGCCCCTGGTTTTGAAAAGCAAGAATGGAAAAAAATCTGGTTGTACCCCTCACTCAGGTAACCTCTGGCATTATCAAGATGGGCACTTGGTAGCACAAGGTGATTTCAAATTAATATGAGGTGAATTTCTCCATTAAACTACTCATCATGAATAGACAGGTTGCTTAGTTTCTTAAATCAACATTGGTGGGGAAACTTTAAAAAGACAGCTGAGGTTAGTTTTTGGGTCATATGTCACCTGTCAACAACACAATACTGGGAAAACTGTGAAGGTTGGACATGGCCAGGAACCAAGCTTCCAGAGCCCTTTGAACACCTTCAGATGGATTTTGTCCAGCTTTCACCTTCCACAGGATTTAAATACAGTTTAGTAATCATATGTCTATTTTCAGGATGGATTGAAGCATTTGCTCACCGAAAAGCTACAGCCCTTACAATCACTATAAAGTTGCTTGCTTTTGTGTTTCCAACCTGGGACACTCCAACTTTTATATCAAGTGCCTGAGGCACACACTTTAAGGGAACCACATGAAAGAACTCTGTAAAGTGTTATCCCTTATTCAAAAACTACACTGCCCTTGCCACCTACAATCTTCTGGAAAAGTTGAAAGGACCAATGTCCTCCTTACATTAAAATTAGCAAAACTGTCAGAAACCTTTGAGCTCCCTAGTCTTATGGTCCACTCCCTCAGGGACATATCGGTCATCCCCCTATGAATTAGTAACTGGAAGGCCCATGTATCTAGGGATCGCACCTCCAATTCTAGACTCTGCACTGCTGCGTGCAGACACGGCAAAATACTGCAAGGGTCCTACCATCAACAGGTTAAGGCCACCTTTCCACAACATCTTCCTAAACAGCCTATTCAGGATCTTCGACCAAGAGATTTCGTCTATTGGAAAAGACATCAGAGAAGAACTGCTCTTGAACTTTGCTGGAAGGGACCCTATCAGTGGTTACAGTGCTGGCTCACTGCATTTTATCCAGACTCCTAAACGCTTCTGTGCAACCACTCTCTCATCAGATGATTGCCATGATGATACAACTATAAGAAGCTCAAGAAGACCTTGCAATACAGTTGACTATGAAGACGAGTGGACAATTTCCAAATGGTGAAGTCTCATTTCCCCTGAATTGGTCATCTCAACCTCTCACAAGCAAGCAAATGACCAGAAAGGGAGAACAAGAGACTAAATATACAAGTGGACAATGGCCAGACCACATATAAAAAAAGAACTCTGATCCACAACCTTCCCAGGAAACCAACCCCTTATTCATAATGAACAACCCACAAAGCCAGTCTGCTGTACGTCAGCCTTTCAGGAAGCCAGACTGCTAGCTCTGCAGACAATCCAGGAAGCTAGACAGTAACTTCTGCAACCATCAGCCCCCAATGGCCAGGACTTCATCAATAACTGACAGCTTCCCTAATTTTTGCCCCTGCTTCCGACTTAGGACCAGCCAGAGAAAGCCAAACATGTGTCCCCGACCAGTCACACAGGATGCCCCACTTCCGGTCAGCCGCCTCCACCCTCTCCAGGCCAACAGCCTCGTCAGGGCGCGCTGAGCCTTCCCTGTGTTGCTCTGTAAACCCTTCCCTCTGCCTGCCTTTAAGTCTCTGCCGAAATGTAAGTAATGGTGGCTGACTCCCCTGCTAGAGCAAGTTCAGAATACAGAGCCTTTGCATTTCCCATTTGGCAGGTCTTCATTTATTTCCACAGCTGTCTAGATCTGGGTAAGGGTAAGGTGGCCGGACTGGGCTCATGGGCTCAGGTGGAGGTGCCCAGAGCCGGTGTACAGTTTACAACTCTGCTCCTTGGTACCAATCATCCTCACATCACATTTTTCAGACGTGATCAGCCTGATATTTAGAATAGTAGATTTGGAACTACCTGCCATTCCTATAGTAATGGACTAGTAACAGCAAATATATTTATTTACATAGGCTTCCTCTTTCAATCCAGTGTTCCCCAATCCACAGAAACTACAAGCTCAGCCTAACCATCTTAAACAGAATATAACCAGCTATCTTCAGCTGTAATTTGAAAGTTATGAGTCAGATTTCCAGGAATTTCACTATATACCATTTAAAAGATTTCTATTTGACTCAACCCAGGAACCCTAAAACAGGATGGTTATCAGAATCCCCTGGGCAGGGTCCAGGAACTTGTGTATGTGAAGGGCCTCCCAGGGAATGATGCTGGCCACTAGGATTTGCTGGAGCTGCCCACGAGAGCCTGTAGCATGCTGACGCTCCTCTAGGCACCTTGCGCAGGTGTACTGCATACCCTGCCAGAGGTGACACAACATTCAAAACCAGTGGGACTATACTCTTTTCTAAGAAGCAGGGGGCAGGGACGGACTGCAGTCTTCTCACAGAGCCCTCACCTCCCCAGAGTCCCCAACATTTTTTTTATTAAGATATAATTGACATATAACATTATATTAGTTTCAGGTGTATAACATAATGACTCGATATTTGTATATACTGTGAAATGTTCACCACGCTAAGTCGAGTTAACATCCATCACCACGTATAGTTACAAATTTTTTTTCTTATGATGAGAACTTTTAAGATCTACTCTCTTAGTAACTTTCAAATACACAATATAGTATTATTAACTATTCATTATACTGTATGTTATACCCCCAGGACTTAGTTATTTTATAACTGGAAGTTTGTACTCCAACATTTCTTTTAAGTGATTCTTAACTCCCTCTACTTTGCACATAGCAGGTATGCTTTCCTTAATTGAATGAGTGGGCTTCATACGGCACTTGGGACATAGATGGATCTGTATTTTTAAGTGGATTCCTCTAATATTTCCCTTAGCTATGCCATTAGCAAATCCAAAATATGAATAATGCCAGAAACTCAGCTAAATAATTTTCTGAACCATGATGCAAGCCCAGTGAACTTTGCATTGGCAACTCCATTCTTTGAACATCTCCTGTATTTTTCATTAAAATATTATTGAACTTGAGAAAAATGTGCAACATAAGGGAACACCTTGAACTGGAAGTCCACTCTAGGTATCAGATGACTTCTCATTGCCTCTGAGCCTGCCAAGTACTGATGGATAAAAACAAACCAGGCTTAAGAAACCCAAAGATAATGTGTTCAAGTTTCAATATAATCATTTCTTAACTGCCAATGTATTCCAAATTATTCTTTTAGAAATCAAAGCTGGGCAGTCATTTGTTTCCCTACTTTTTTAAAGCTTAGCTCTGATAATTTCAGATCCTGTGGATCCAAATGTAGTAAGGTGATCAGGAGGTCCCCTCCACCCCTGCCTTCCTTCTGTGCTGCTCACACACATCACATCCATGCCCTTGTGGGGAGACACACAAGACACATGGCTGAAAAGGTTGTACCAGGCAGGAGGCGGGGGCTGTAGAACGGCGATGAAGGCAACACCAAGAGCACAGCTCTGGGGTCACTCCCTATGCATTGCCTTCTGTGAATCCTCTCAGCTGAGTGGGCTAAGACACAGGGGGCGTCGCTCTCGGATGTACACAGTCCCCACAGATGCTACCACCAGTTCTGTAAGAGTCACAATAAGGCGAATGGTGGCTTCCCCTGCCTCAACCCAAACACTTCAGTATAGCCAGTTATGATGGCCTCAGTCAGTCCTGCGGACTCACTCTCAGGGTCTCACCATACAAGGGCTGTCACTAAAGAACAGAACCTGGGCCACAAAAGGTACACTTCCGAATGCTTCTTCAGCAGTCCCTGCTGTCCCCAACTTTGAAGAGGTGAGAACTTGCTGACACGGGACAGGGAGATGAGCAGACAGGGCATCATGCTCTGCTCAACAGTGGAAGACGGCCGCCTGGGCAAGAGGGGCACGATCTGCAGCCTTGGGCCCCTGGCCACCTCCTGCCCCCGCACTGTCTCTCTGACAGTGCACAGGAGGGATGTGGGACAGCTCCCAGTTCCAGAGCCGAGTCTCAAAAAAGTCCACCTGCTCTGACACTCATTTCCTGGGCCTGTGATGACTCAGCTCTGCCTGTCCACAGGTGAGGCTTACCAACCACTCCGAGTCTGGCCGCAAACATCAGCGCAATCCCGATGGGGAGACCAACCACATAATACCCAATGGCATTCACGATGGCGCCAATCTTCTGATTGCCACTTCCCCGCAGGATGCCACCACTGGTACACTGTGGGCAGATAACATCCGTCAGTGTGAACGCTGCCGATGCTTCTGAAAGACCCCCATCCCCGAGCACTGCTCATGCTGTCAGCTCTCACTCACAACCCACGATCATGCGACCGCATTCTTGTCAAGGGAATATGATAAAAATATTCTACCTCCCCAAGCCTCTCTTCTCCCTTTAAATTTACCATCATCAGAGGAAACACACAGATCATAAAAGTGCTGAAGGGAACACTGCATAATACTTACAGCAAGGCCTTCGAAGAGATGGGAAACAGCATAAATTGGAACCACCTGGGCCACTAGAGCAACGATTTCTCTGTTAGGAAAATAAAGCACATGAGGATTAGGAGACGGACATGTGGAAAGAGTAGAACGCTGCAGCTCCCGATGACGGCTCAGCTTCTGCGCACAACTGGAGAGGCTCAGGCTTTGCAGCCAACACGCTGCTCAGGATGTAGAGGAAACCAACTGTACGCCATCACTCACGACTTTCAGAAAAAATAGAGAGTCCATTTGATCAATGCAGACAGGTACATCAAATGATTTTGTACTCCCCTCTGCCCCCAAAATAAAATTTAGATGATAGTGCGATCCTTCTTTTAACATAATTCCACGTGTCTCTCTCCGTGTGGCTGAATGAAGCACAACCACCAAGAGCTAAGGTTCCCTCGATGGAGCCGAGGTTGGCAAGCTATAAAAGTCACAGATACAGTTTACGGAATTATTCTTGGCTCCTAGAAATGGGCCCTAACCTCTAAAGTTAGAAAGTCGGATTTTAATGACTATGCTTGAATGGTGCCACTGACATAGGAAAGGAAGAAATGCATAACACCCTTGAGTGATTAACAACAAACCTAGAACATTTTCTGGCAATAAATATTTGTTGAATGAACAAATAAATAAGAAATCCAGCATGGAACAGGGTGGTCACTCCCTCCCCACTCCAAACAGAGGAAAGAAGCATAGTGCTTTTATTCAAATTTAATTTTATTGTTCAAATAGGTAACACATGCAAACAGTTAAAAGAAATCAAACATGATAAGGATCTGGAGAAAAATCTTCCTTCCACTCCTTTCCCAGTCCTCCCATTACCACACTCCCGATTAGGGAACAGTTGTTAGGACTGTCTGTGTTTGTCCACTGCTTACGAAAACATAAGGAAATACAAATATATATTCTTATTTTCCCCTTCTAGACTCTATTAGTTCACACATAATATTCTCTATACGACGTTATACATCTTGATTTTTCCACTTAATATGTTATAGTCACTTTTATATTCCATATATATATATTTTTTGGTGAGGAAGACTGTCGCTGAGCTAATGTCTGTGCCAGTCTTCCTCTATTTTGTATGAAGGACACCACCACAGCACGGCTTGATGAGCCGTGCATCAGTCTGTGCCCAGGATCTGAACCCGTGAAGCCTGGGCTGCCAAAGTGAAGCGTGTAACCTTAACCACTACACCACCAGGCCGACCCCAAAAATGTATTATTTTTAATGTGCTGCTGAATTCTGTCTACAGTATTTTATTTTGGATTTTAAAACCGATATTAATAAGTGAGATTGGTCTGTAGCTTGCTTTCTTTTACATGAGCAAACTTTGTCAGATCTTGGTACCAACATTACATTTGCTTCATAAACAGAATGAGGGAGTTTTCCTTTTTCTACATTCTGGAACAGTTAAAACAGCATTGGAATCACCTCCATTTTAAAGGTTTTAGAAGATTCTCCTTTGGAACCCTCTGTGATTGGTGCTTTTTTAAAATTTTAAAGTAATTTTTTCTTATTTCTTCTAAGGAAACCAGTCTGTGTAGATCTTCTGTGTTTTCTAGGGTAAGTTTTGATAAATTATTGTCCTAGAAAATTATTTATTCCTTCCAGATTTTTTAATCTACTTACAAAAGTTGTGCAAACTAGTCTCTTACGCTTTAAAAAAATTATTGCTTTTAGAAATTTTCCCCTGTCTTACTTCATATGGAGGTGCTCTCTCCTTTTTCCCTCTCTGATTAGGTTAAGAATCTATGTCACTGTTAGAATGTATGTCATTGATTCTGCCAGTTTCAGTTGATCCTGGCAGGCTTACAAATAATTTGATTTTGTGAGTTTTCTATGTCTCCTAATTTCATCAAAGATATAGGTCGTGGGCCTTTTGTTTTTCATTCTTTTTTCTGTTCTGTATGGTTTCCAGAAGTGGACAGATTCAGAATCACACATCCACTGCATTCCTGCTGAAGCCATCAGTGCAGGATGCACCTCTGATAAAGTGAATTCTGATTCCCTTTGAAGAAAATGAGAAGGATTTCTGGCTGCCCTCCCACGAAGTCTGAAGTGAGGACATGTGAACAGCTTATTTCCCCCCAGCAAAATGGCTGAGGCTGAAAGATGACAACATCAGAAGTCAAGACACAAACACCCGAAGACGAGATTGTGAATGTTCTGTCCACTCCACCTGCTTCTTGAATCCATGAAGAAAAAGTCAACTTGCATTTTGTAATTGCTGATAAAGAATCCCAAATAAGAGGCAGCCACACAATATATCTACACGGTCAGATGCACCAGCAAGCCTCATTGACAAAAGCAACCAAACCAACCTGTACAAGAATTCTTCCTCAACAATCCATCTCATCATGTGATTTTTTCAAACAGCTCATTAATGAGATTTTAACTTCAATTTGGATTAACAAAAATATTAGGCAACCACTACAAACCAGGCACTTGGTCAGATTCTGAGATACCAAGATGATTCTTGTCAAGGGGAGTGAAATAATTAACTGAAAATGTAACCCATGGTACCATACAGGAGTTTCCTTCTTTAAAATACATGACTATCGTGAGTACCAGAAGCAAGGATCACCACCAATGCCCATTAACCTGGCATTCTAGATTATAAACTAGTTCCTGTTGCTAGTCAGTTCTTCCCGGGTAACATCAGCAAGTTTCTGATCTTGCAGAAGACTCACGCACCCTCCAAGACACAACCACCACAGTGTGAAAGCATTTACCCAAGCATTTCTTTACCACAGATTTCACATTTCAAGAAAATCTCAGCACTCACCCGTCAGTAGTGAAAATGTACCCCACAAGATCCTTACAGCTCAACAGCAGGACACAAAAGATGACAGCAAAGAGTCCTGGAGGTAAAATGGCAGAAGAAATGGCACGGTGAAAAACGAGGTCTGCAGGGACCCAGGGTCTCGCAGGCAGACTGCGTGGGCACACCACTGACGAAGGGTCTGCACACCTGTGATCAGCAGGGCGACAGCTGAGGACCTCTTGGCCTGCTCAATGTTTCCGGCACCCAGCGCGTTCCCTACCCGGACGCTGGCAGCTACACTGAAGCCTGTAGGTATCTGAAATGAAAAGGAAACTCACAACGACGCTGGGAGCGGGAGAGGAGCCCTGCCTCTCCGCTCAGTTCTGAGCCTAACCGTGTGCCTTCCCCAGGGAAGAGGGGCCGGTAGACCCCACTTCACACCTCATTGGTAACATGTGGTCCTCAGAGTTCTGAGAAGACTAATTTGCAACATCCCCTTCGTCTAGCTGGCAGCCCCCAGGCTAACGTGGAACCTGGAACCCCAGCTGTGACTCACATCACACACTGGGCTTTTCTGCAGAGCTTCCAACCTGTGCAATGGGAGGGATGCACAGTCACATTCCCCCACTGGCTGCGGGAGGAGGACCACCAGGAGCCAAGCTAGGTCTGTGCTGAAAGACCATCCAGGGATCAAGGTTAGAAGACAGTGTCCTGAAACAGTGGCCTTTGTTTTTTTCCCAAAAAAAAATACTGGATAAAATGAACTTAAGAAAACAGAAAGACACATACAATGCTGATAGCAGTGCCATTCTTTTTGTGAGGGGAAGGGTGGTGCCAAAGGAGATAGAGAAGCAGCATAGCATGTGGTTAGCAACGGGAATTCGGAAGCCAGACGGTCTGGCTCCAAATCCTGGCTCAGGCACCCAACAGCTGTGTGACCTGAGCACATCACTTACCCTCTCTAGACCTCGGCTGTCTTATCTGTAAAAGGGATCTTGTAATAGAACCTACCTTGTAGGGTTACTGTGGGGATTGAATGAGTCCATACATGCTAACTGCTTAGAATAGCGCCTCATATGTAGTAACTGTTCAATAAAGACCAGCCATTACTATTATCTAAAAATTTACACTTGAGAAATTAGCATTAATAAAGAAAAAAGATTAATCACTCATTAAACATGAGTTTTGCTTTATGATCAGGATGACTAAGAACAGGACCAAAGAAGGGCTGACACACAGATTGAGGAACGTAAAAGAATTGGAAGCCCATCCCTGCCTAGAAACTCACCAGTGGGAGAAAACTTACAGACCTCCCCACAAACTGTTTAAGATTATAAAGGGAAAGAGAGTAACTTGATGGTGGAGAAACTGGCAGACAGCATCTTAGCCAAGCAATCAGTTAAAATCACCAATAATGGGACAAATCCACATCACGTGCCTCCTGATACCACGCAGGAGAAGGACACAGCGGCATTTCTGTAGTATTCCTGCCAAAAATGCAGAGTCAGAATCTGTTCATGAGGAAGTACCATCTACAACAAATTGAGGGCAAGTCTGTATATAGTGGCCTCTATTTTTCAAAAATGTCAAGGTCGAGAAAGACAAAGAAAGGCTGAGGCTCTGTTCTAGCTTAAAGGATAGTAAAAAGGCATGGCTCCCTAATTCTAGAGAAAAATAGTTATGAAGGACATTATCAGAACAACGGGTGGTATTTGAACATGGGCTGTGGAGATGATACAGTGAGTGAGTGAGCGAGCAAATGGGGCAAAATGTAAACAATTGGTGAATATGAGTAAAGAATATAAATCCTTCTTTTGATTAGGGAGAAATATAAATGTAATTCTTTTTTTTTTTTTAAAGATTTTTATTTTTTCCTTTTTCTCCCCAAAGCCCCCCAGTACATAGTTGTATATTCTTCGTTGTGGGTCCTTCTAGTTGTGGCATGTGGGACGCTGCCTCAGCGTGGTTTGATGAGCAGTGCCATGTCCACGCCCAGGAATCGAACCAACGAAACACCGGGCCGCCTGCAGCAGAGCGCGCGAACTTAACCACTCAGCCACGGGGCCAGCCCCTAAATGTAATTCTTATAAGCCTGCTGCAAAGCATATGGCAATATATGCAAAAGACAAAATTGTAAATAAGTTTTACTTTTAGAAATTTAGCTTATAGAAATAATCAAGTATACAAAGATATTTGTCCTAAGATGTTCACTGAAGTGTTGTTAATAATATTGAAACACTGGAAATAAACTAAATACTCCACAGCAGGAGATGGGTTTAAAAATTATACGACATACAGTGGGATACTATATACCATTAAGCATTTGATTTAGATGCAGTTACTGAACTTACTGAAATATAAAATATACACAAAATTTTAAAAGTGTTGAAGTGACAAATTCCAGTTAAAAAATTCTGCTGAGGATAGAAAAAAGCAAAAACAAAAAACATAGGTCCTCAAGAGAATGATTCGTAAAGAAAACAGGAAACATTGTCAATGTACTTTTTAAATATAACCAGTCTTGGGGGAAATCTAGGCATTAGTAGTACAAACAAGGCCAAAGCCGGTGGGCTGGCTGTAGTCCCTCTCAACATTACACACTTCCTTTCTGTCCCCATCTTTCATTCTATGTCTAAAGTGACACTTGCTAGAGAAGAAAGCTCTTCAAAATTTCTAGGTGATGTTTTCAGTAAAACAAGTCAAAGGAAAGCCTCTAATAACTGGGGTTCTTCTATAGCATATCAAAATTTCCTTCCTTTTCAAGGCTGAATAATATTCCAGTGTATGGACAGACCACATTTTATTTCTCGATTCGTCCACGAGTGGAGACTTGGGTTGCTTCCACGTTGTGGCTGTTGTGAATAACGCTGCTGTGAGCATTGCTACACAACTATCTGCTCAAGACCCTGCTTTAGATTCTTCTGGGTCTAACACAGGAGGGGTCACACCGAGTCTTAAGAGCATCAGACCAGAGTGGAGCTCAGTGAGACGCAGGAGCGTAGCCCGTATTGCCATACAGCCAACACCCTTACCCTTTTTACCCCCACCTGCCCCCAAGGCACTTGTGTTACGACAACTGAAAAAGAGTCTTCATGTTTGGCAAGTGTGGCAATCAAATCATGTCTTTCAGCTTTGAACTGAGTTAGGAGATGGGGACGCAGCAGTGAACATTTGGAGTTTCTCCCCATCCCCTTCAGCACACGGGAAGATCCCACCACACCAAAAGGACCCTCTCTGGCTCTAGGATGAAATTTTACCTTTGTGAATCACTTCACAAATTATGACTTAATGGTTTGAACACCTATGCTCATTCTTAGGACTCTTTCAAGGGAAACGTCTAGCACCTCCACAGCAGCTCTCAGCCACTCACCATGTACACGATGATAGCCAGTTCATACACAACAGACTGGGCTCCCAGCTCCACCATGCCCAGGATACCTGGTGGAGAGAGACAGCTGACACCATGCTTCCCAACAGAGCCCCTGCATTTCCACCAGCCATCACCCTCTGTCCCCACACTGACCGCTCAGGAAGCTTCCGATCTCGTAGGCCCACCACTCAATGCACAGCATGAGCATGCTGGGGATGGCCAGGCGGAAAAAGGAGGCCCAGTCCTGCAGACACTCCAGGGACCATCCTGCAGGCGGGACACAGACACATGTCTAACACGTCCGGCCATCGGGCTGGAGCTCACCCCAAGACAAAACCCACATCCAAATTGGAAGACAAAAGGCAGTCCTTACCTCCCCAGGTAGCTTGATGCAGTTTCCTCCCAAGGATGTAGAGGAAGAGGAGCAGAGCCAGGGTGAACTGGGAAATCGTATTTGCCAATGCTGAACCCCTGGGAAGAACAGTCCCGATGAGGGATGGCACCTGTCCTGCATCCTCTCCCTGCCACACTTGGCACCAAGATGAGCACGCACCACTTGCAGCAGCCCCGAGGTCGTCTTCTTCCCAGAGCAGCATTACTCTCCATCCCCGACACTGCTTTCCCGAGTGGCCCAAGGAGGAGACCACACATGGACACGATGACCAGCTAAAGGTCCCACTCTCCCCCGTGCCCGCAAAAGGCACATGCAGGTCATTCCTTCCCCCGCCCCAAGAATCATTCGGACTCACATCACCCCGAGATGCAACTGATGAAGAAACAGATAGTTGGTGAGGGCATTGACAAGGTTGGCTGCAACTCCAGTTACAATCTGGGGCAGTACGATTCCCTGAAACGAGGAGAGACGGCACGCTGTGCTGGAGATCACGGAACCCACATGCAGCAGGTTCGAAGCAGCCTGCGTGGCAGGCTGTGACAGGCGTCCCAGAAGGATCTGACTGTGGATGTCCCGTCCTTCCTACTCCTGCCTCCCTCCCCACCCCTGCAAGCCTCCTCTTGCGCCTCTGAGGCATGAAGAGCATAGTTCTGGCCAGAGACAGTCAGAGGCAGGAGGTGGGAAGACCGCAGAGAGGGAAGAAGAGAAACGGCTCATCTATGAGACTGCAAGGACCAGCAAGGATTAAAAAGTAGAAACAAGTCACCTTTCACATTGGACAGTGGGTGAAAGTACAACACTTTCTCGGCCAAAATTGAGATTCAGAAAATTGACCTAAGGAGAGCTTATGAAACCAGAGTGTGGAATGGACTCCATCATATCTGGCCCTGGGGCAGAAAAGTCCAGTCTACTTGGCATCTCAACTAAGACCTAAGGCATGAGAGTAAAATGGCATGGGACTAAGAAAGTAAAAATCTGCCCTGCCAGGCACTAGGAAAGAAAAACAGACGTGGACGAAGCCAGCTGAGAAGCTAAGAGGAAACACCACTTCTCCCAGCTGTAAAGTGTCGTCTCACCCCTTCTTTGAATGACTACTGCTTTCTTACTCTCTGAGAAACCTGGTTCTCTAAAATCACAGACTGGTTGAAATTCTGCAGTTTGAAATCATACCCACGAAAATAAAGCATCTCACTCCTGCCTGGAGGATTAAAGTTACTTTCACACAAAAAAGCAGCCTCGATTTCCAACCAGGAGCAGAGCTTCCCACGAACATCTGGACACGGCCATCTACATCCACCCGCCTTCCACCTCTCTCTCAGCTTTGCTGTTCTCAAGCGGAGAGGCCTTGGGTCCACTTGGCAGTGCAGACCCGGCGTGGACCCCTTTGCTCTGCTCACAGCCTGCTTTGCTCTGAGCCTACCGGACACGGCTCCAGCTGGATTTCCCCTGAACTCCATCCTTCCGTATCTCAGGGTAACTCCGCCCCTTTGTCTGCAGGAACCCACAGCTCCCCTGGTCTCGCGATGTTACAGGTCAATGGATCAACTCCACCGCCTGCAGGGCAGCTCCAGTGGTGGTGGGGGTCTTGGCCTCAGGGGCCAGGGCGAGGATCTCAGCCAGCCACTCTACTGGCTCACTTACTTACAGGACCCTGGTTAGTTTGCAGCAGGGAGTTAGGTGGTCATTTCAGGGAGATGGTAAAAGCAGCAGTGTGGTGGGGGACTGACCCAAGGAAACCCTGGTGGCAGGGAGACTGGGAGGGACCCCCTAAAGTGGTACAGAAGAGGGAGGGTGAGGCACGGAGGACAGAGAGGAGCGGGGGGGCACATACAGGACTCAGTGACCAATCAGATGTGGGAGCAAAGGGAAAGACGGAGTCACAGACGGTGGCATGTATGAAGGACAGGTTACTGGGAGAGAAAATGTTCGACGTCACTAAATGAAAAAAATGCAGGAAAGCAGAGCAGCAGCCTTGTGGGGGTGACAAGGAGGTCAAGTGTGAAACATGCATGGGGCTCCTCCAGGCGCGGGAAACAATGTTTGGAGGTTAAAGATACAAATGTGGGAGACATGGGCATACAGATGGAAACCAAAAACATACAAGGAGACAGCTTCCCTCAGAGTAAGGGCCAATGGGGTCACCTGCTTTCCCAAAGTCCTCTCACTCTCCCCCTAAAATTCAAAGCGTTCCCCTGGGTTTCATCTGGTTCTCTTCCACCCTGTACCCTCTCCAACTGTACAAACTTTCTCCCCAAACCAGCTGCTTCTCTTTCGTCCTACACTCACAAATGGGCTAGGCCCCCAGGATGGAACTGGGTTAAATGCAAGCACTTCCTCTCCTGTGGTCCCTAGAGCCAACAGGGCATTTCATTCTCCGGGACCCACCCTATCCTCAGGTCTCTTGTGCTCCCAAAGGGCAATTCTTTCTTCATCACAGACTTTCGTCATCTTCTGTTTGGATCATGTCCATAACTCTCATCTCTTCTCCTGACAATGAAAAACCCTCCTTCCGCCTTGGGAACCCTCCGTGTCCTCCATGATCCAGGTCACACTTCCCGACCTCTGTCAGCTCAGGGCCCCTACTTCTAGGTCATTCCCTCTGTCTCAGGGTATTAGAGAGAGGGGTTTTCACAACCAGGCTCAAGAGATCAAGGTAGAACCTGCACTTAGGAGCCCCGGCACCTTAGAGAATGACAGGGGGAGGCCCTGCAGGTGCCAAGGCTTCAAATGAGGTCAGACTAGGAGGGGACAAGCCTAGAGCCCAGACAGGCTGATTTCTGCCTCTTTACAGACCTCTCCAGTATATAATTCTGATCCTAATGAAGATTTGAAATAGTGTTTTGTTAATACAGTAAAATCTTAATTTTAAGAACATTAAATAGGTAGAAAACTTCTTCCCTTCTCTCCCCGCTCCCTTGCCCCTGCTGTTACATATGCCCTGGAGAGCCCGCCTGTGTGGCCATGACCCAGGGCCTGACTCTCATTCACCTGGATTTATCTGGAAGGAAGTCAACGGTCCCACGTATGCTTGCATCATAAATCCATAGCCACTGAGCCAGGGCAGCCATCCTGGGCTTCTGGCCATTGCTGTTACTCACGTATGAAGAGTTCTGAGGGACGTGAGGTGTCGTTACAATCTGGGCTTTCATGTCCCCACTGAGGGAAGTGGGGCCTTTCGGACAGAGCGGAGCAGAGGCTGGTTCCCAGAGCTGACAGTCCTCTCTGGGAGCAGAGAGGCACACACCCTGACTTCCAGGGACCCAGTGACGGCACAGAGCCAAAGAACACTACAGCTCTGACACTATCCTGCCAATGGCAATATTTCCAAGCAAGAATCAGATAAGAATTTTCCAGAGCCAAGAAAAATGTCTTTTCCTTGATATCACTTAACAAATCTCTCCACACAAAGTCCTGCATGACAACATGGGGAAATGCATTTCAGCGGCTGCCAGCAGGCGAGCAACTCCACCCTGGTCTCCCTGAGTATTTTCAGGACTCCCAATTCCAGAAAGGTAGAAACTCCCATTAGCTCCCCCAAAGAAAAAAGAGAGTCTGCATTACCTGGTTGAGCAAATATTTCACTTGTAATGCATAAAGGAAGGTTGCCTACAAGAAAATGAGAGATGAGCGTTAATGTTTTGGTCTTGCCACGCAGAAATGAGTTGGGAGCCACGGCTTGGCTGCCCTGTGCTCCTACATGAGCCACAGAGCTGTGCCACCCTCAGGGGAAAGGAGTGGGAGCCAGGTGTCAAGGGCCGAGGTGTTCCCCTCTTCTCCTTTACAGACAAACAAGATCCAAGCGACCTCAGAGTCTGGAAGAGCAGTTTCCTTGGGAGCACAGCAAGGAGTCTTCTGGGCGTAAAGGAGGCCCCTGGACAAACTCTAGGGGGGTACCTCCCTTGTAGACGAGGCTATAATCCTATTCGGTGGAATAATTAAGGAATATTAAATTTAAAAGGTTGCAAGATAAATTAAAGATCACAATGCCAAGTATGAGGACAGATGGCTATTGTGAAGGATTTAATTGTGTCCCCTAAAATTCATATGTCGAAGCCCCAACCCCCAATGTGACTGGAGATAAGGTCTTTAAAGAGGGGGTTAAGTTGAAATGGGGCCATTTGGGTGGGGCCCTAATCCAACAGGACTGGCGTCCTTATAAGGAGAGGAGACACCAGCAGTGCACTCGAATGGTGGAAGAGCGACCACGTGAAGAGGCAGCAAGAAGGCAGCCATGCAGGCGAAGGAGAGAGCCTCAGAGGAAACCAGCCCTGTGACACCTCGATCTGGGACTTGCCAGCTTCTAGAACTGTGAGAGAATAAAGCCCTGTTGTTTAAGACGCCCAGTCTGTGGTATTTTGTCATGGCAGCACAAGCAGACTAATACAGCTACACCGTCCAACTCAGTAAAATTAGCTCTGACTGTTCACTAACCACACGCGACCGTGACAAACGTTCACACACACTCAGGGTTCTGTGTGAGCACACTCAGCAAGCAAAACAAGGTCTGTGGGTTCCGAGAGACTCAGGGCTTCCGACACGGGGAAGAATGTGCCCTACACAAAGGTCTGACTTCCTCTCTGTGGATGACCTTGGAGGTGCTTCCAGCTATAGGAGTTCAAGAAAGCGGCCTCCTGGAGTCACTTGGCCCTGGTGTTGAGATCTCAAGGGAGAAATGTTCATTACCTCCATGGGCATAAGTAAAACCGCACTTCCTTGAAGGTGCCAACACCACATGTGAGAATCAGGTAAGACTGAGCCAATTCCTAGAGCGCAGGGCCATCCCAGCCACCTTTTACGGGGAACCTCTGAGCCCTTGACAACTTACAGGTAGAGCTGGAATGAAGATCGTGACATAGGTCTGGGTAAGCCTATATAATGAAAGGGAAAAAAAAGGTGACGGAGGTCTCCATGCCAAGGGAAAGCGCCTGACATATTCTGGCTCTTTCTAAACGAGTGGGCCTAAGTGCTGGAGCAAATGTGAAAATTTACACATAGAACTTGTCATCTCAAACCCAAATTACCTGTCTTGGTTCCTCCAAGCCTTTAGGTCTAGGACGGGGTTTTTCCACCTTGGCACCACGGCCGGATAATTCTCGGCTACAAGGAGCTGTCCCGTGCATTGTAGCATGTTTCAAAGCATCCCTGGCTTCTACCAGTAGCAACACCCAATAACAGATGTGACAACCAGAAACACCTCCCGACATTGCCAAACATCCTCTGGGTTGAGAGCCACTGGGCTGAACAAGGACTTTTAAAGGTCTTTATCAACTAAACCAGGGGTGTCAAACTTGGCAGCACATTAGAGCTTTGAAAGACATGCATGCCCGGGCTGCACCCTGGATTAATTAAAACAGAATGCTGGGAGGGGAAGGGGACCAGGCATGGTTGGGTTTTCAAAGCACCCAGGTATCAACCAGGGTCAAGAATCACAAAACCACAAAAAGATGCCACAAACTACCATCCTATGTGAAGGATGTCTACAAATCTTATTTCACTCAAAACTATTGACCCTAGAAGTCACCCAGACGAGGAGGGGCCTAGATCTTACGTGCCAGGTGTGGAAAGCACTAAGGCCTGGTGGAAGTCAGCTGGTGTGTGGCATTGATGCCGGCCTTCATAATTCCCAAGGCTGACTTGGGATGGGACGGTCTGTCTTCTGGGATGAACCCCAATCCTGCCATGGCGAGGCCCCTCTTACCTGGTGCAGCCCCTCTTACCTGGACACATCCGGGTCCTGCCTGAAGAGCAGCAGGATTTGCTGGGTGTTGAGGAAGAGCGCCCAGCAGGGGAAGCAGCAGAGGAGGAGCACCAGCACGCCCCTCTGCAGGATGACCCCCACGTGCTTCAAGTTCCGGCTCCCATATGTCTGGGTGCACACAGCCAAAGTGAACCCGTTAGCACAGAAATGGCACCTCCCCTGGCCCCCCAAAGGCCTTCAATCACGCCTCATAAAGAGACAGATGGCCCTAAAGACTTTGCCACATTCTTCAGCTATTAGTGGTTCTCAACCTTGGCTGCCCCTTAGAATCATATGGGGAACATTTCCTTTTTTTTGTTTTTTGAGGAAGATCAGCCCTGAACTAACATCTGCTGCCAATCCTCCTCTTTTCGCTGAGGAAGACTGGCGCTGAGCTAACATCCGTGCCCGTCTTCCTCTGCTTTGTATTTGGGACGCCTGCCACAGCATGGCCTGTCAAGCGGTGCCATGTCCGCACCTGGGATCCGAACCGGCGAACCCCAGGCTGCCGAAGTAGAACGTGAGCACTTAACCGCTGCGCCACCGGGCCGGCCCCTGGGGAACATTTTTAAAACACTGATGCCAGGGTCCCACTAAAGATAGTCGGATTTAACTGGTCCAGGGCGGGACCCAGACAGCAATAATTTTTAAAAGCTCCCCGTGGATTCTAACGGACAGTCAGGGTCGCATCACCTGAAAACTTCTTAGAAATGCAATATTTTGGGTGCCACCCCAGACCTACTAAAACAGAAACTCTGGGAAGAGGCCAGTGATGTGCAAGGGCAGTTCCTGTGGGCTCGCAAAAGCCGGATCGTGCATGTCCCTCCCAGCTCCGCATCAGTGGCATCTCTGTGATGGTTACTTACACCACTGGAGCTGCAAACAGTACCGTCAGGACATTTCCCTCCCCCACCGAAGACCTGTTTCTTCAACATTGGCCAGTACGCAGCTCGGTGGGCCCAGCAACCTGTGTTTTATCAAGCCCCCAGGCACCCCTGACGCACACAGAAGTTTGGGAACCACAGACTATACCAAACTCAACAATGTGAAAAGTGATAAAAGGGACTTTTACAAAATGTCCCGTTTGGTCAAAATGTAGTGTGAGGCAGTCGTGCAGACGAATACTACTTCAAAAGTCTGAGCGACATCCAGCCACATTTCCAAGAAAGCAGGTAAGGAGAACTGGCTGCCATCTGACACCTGCTGCCGAGTCTGCTGCTGAGGATTTCCTCCCCCTGTGCACACGACTCTCCCTTCCTGCTGGTGGGGTTCCTCGTTCCTCTAGCTACACTCACGGGAAGATGTCCAGGGTCACTGTGAGAGTGACCTGGGGCTTCCACTTACCTGGGAGATAAGGGTGTCGCAAGCAGAAGATAAGCCAAATCCCACCGAGACACCAGTGACATTGATAACCTGGAAACAAAGGAAGGAGAAGGCCATGCAGAGGTAAAGGGAGACCGGAAGGCACGTTCTCCGTCTACACTGATGAGAGCCTGCGGAGCACCACCGTCGACCCTAGCAAGTCAACCGAATCAACTCTGTTGTTTGCCTGGAGCCCCTGCACAAATCCGTTGGGCCAGCTAAATTAAAGGACATGCACAAGTTTAGAGAGGGAAGAAAAACCTAAGCCAGTGGTTATTACCTAGCCTGTTTCTTTTTAAATCTTGGGCATTTGCTCTCCAGTCTCAAAGGAACGTGAATCCTCCTGAAGGGGAACACTACATGGTACAGTGGCAGTTTTGGATAAGTCCACTTGCTCAAGACCAAGCACAGCCTGTTGCAATATTCTGAAGGACTCTGGGAGCACAGAAGCAAGTCTCTGAAGTCAAGGCTAGTGCTAGGGGCCTTCTAGGTACACTTGTCTTGACCAGGGTCATCAACAAAACCCTGGAGTCCCCAGAGCTTTGGGGAGCCCAGGACAGCACTCTCAAACCCAAGGAGTGGCATTACGGGAAGTCTGATGCCTCCGTGTCTGGAACCTGCTGCCTCCACCTGAGCCAGCAGGGAGGCACCCAGAGACAACAGCCCAAACCGGGCCGAGCCTAGAAGCATCAGCTTTCTTGCGCTTACTTGATCAAGAGAATCTGCCGGAGGCTTGCTGAGTGCCTTTCTGTCTTCCCCCAAATTTCCAAACATGAAAATACAAAAAAGGATATTAAACTCGGGATTGTGCACATTGCCCCTGAAAGGGAAACTATCTGGGTAAGCCTGGGGACTCGTTCAGAGTAGTCTTGCAGAGTTCAGAGGTGGCAAACTCAAATGCCTCAGGGGCAGGCAGATAAGGAGACCGTGCGCCTCGGCAGGGCCAGAGAAAAAGGGGAATCAAGGAGGCTGAGCAGGAGAGCGGGACACACCCGCTAAGGCCATCGAGTCCATTTTCCTAGAAACACCCAGCTGGCCGAACTAAACAAGTTGGCAGGGCCCTTCGGCCATGCACAGACAGTTAACCCCCGGCGGGGGTCAACGATATCTCTCTTTGATTTTGGGGGTTCACATCTAGGATACAGAGAGGATTTGGCGTTCCTCTCAATTTTAGGTTTGGACACTAGGATCCAGGATTTCATCTTCCAGTTCCATTTCCAGATTAGGACTCTCAGAAGGGCAGACAAATCATGGGGGTAGGAGTCGGGGGTGACAGTTTCTCCTGATGAAGGCCAACTTCAACCAATCTTTTATGACTCCTTCCCCCAGATGTGGGACCACGAGCAGGAGCCAGAGCTCTATGGAGTACAAACTAACTGATGTGGGAGACAGAATAATGATCCTCCAAAGATGGCCCGTCCTAACCCCCAGAATATGTGAGGTTACATGTGAGGAACAGGAGGGGACCTGTGATGTTACAAAGCAAAGGAGAATTAAGGCTGCAGATGGAAATAAGGCTGCAGCCCTGCCAACACCTTGATTTTGGCCCAGTGAGACCCCTAGCCGACTGCTGACCTCCAGCACTGTCGAACAATGCATTTGTGTTGTTTGAAGCCACTGACTTGTGGAAATTTGTAAGAGCTGCGAGAGGAACCTAATCCAGATGGCTGTCATCAATCTGTGTGGAACGTCCCATACGTACTGCGATGGCGAGTGTGACAGCATCCAGCTCCAGCTTCCCCAGGTGGCCGCAGAACACGGAGCTTATGAAGCTGATCAGAAACACCATCAGCTGGGCCAAGAACTGGGCAGACACAGAAAACAAGGAGTTGCAGATGAGTGCCAACCATCACAGTCGAAGGAGAGGGGTGCTCTTCCTGGGGCGCTCCCCCCCACCCCGTCAATTCCAGCCAGGAGTAAAGAAACAGCTTGTAGTGAGCTCCGCCAGCTTTCACAGGCAAATGTGCGATTTCTGGTGGGCTTCCTGCAAAATCTTAAAGTTCATTTGCAACTGCCATCAGAATCACGTTTTTGAGAACTTCCTAGCTTTTAAATTCACTTTTCACTTAAGATGCTCCTGCCTAGATCACGCGTATATTTTCTCTGAAATTGTCGGAGGCTGCCTTCTGGGATGACCGATTCTTATCCCAGACTCCTAGTGAGGACCCGAGAGAATACAGCCTTCAACGGCCAAGAAGAAATTCCACAGACAGGAGCACCTGAGGCAGAAATGCCATCATCCCACCAAAAGGCCAGTGGACCTGGAATCTTGGGGTGAAACGCTACCAGTCTGACGAGCACCTTGAATTCCTGCATTCTGTGGAGCCTCAGATGTGAGAACAAATTCAGCTTCTGGAACCTTGAGTCATTCTTCCTCTCAATTCCAGGAATACTGTGATCACGCCACACGCTTCAGCTGCAGGACTGGACACTTACCTTATTTCCTTAGGTTAATTTAAAACCACCTCCCGTCCCCCATCTGCCAGACCCAGGCGGTCCAGTGCCTCCTGGGAAAGCCCCTCTCCTGGGAGGGTTATGTGGTCCAAAGGGGGGATTCATCTGACTCCCACTTCCTAGGAGAGAGAACAGGTGCCTAAGAACTCGCTGCTGCTGCCACTGCCCGTGTCTGCCCCAGGTGCCCCTTTCAAAGCTGATGCCCCGGGAAACGGAGGTGCTTCTGCTGGTCCAGTCGGCAGAGCTGCCTCTCACAGTCCTTCAAGGGAAACAGACTCTTGTCTTCTGAGCTCAGACAAGTCTCATCTTTTCAGGCTCCCAAGGACACAGCCTTCTGTCCCCACCTCCATCAGCCCCCACACACAGCCTGTCTGCCAGCACTGCAGCCACATGGGGACCTGATCAGGCCCCGCCTGTGACAGTTCAGATGACTGCCCTCTTTTCTTCCCCAAATCCCCATCTGGGGAGCAGACAGTTTCCAACTCCGCTTACGGGCCCTCATCTTCAACACATGACAGGCCTGTTTCTAACCATGGCCATGTTTCTAACCATACTTTTCCTGCATCAAATTCCAGCCATGACCAGGTACCCCTCTCACTACCACAGAAACGAAGGGGCCTTTAGCCTCCAGCAGGGCCTTCTGCCACACAGCAGGGGTGCCTTCAGAACATACCGCAAAAGTAAACCACACGACACAGAAGACAGGGCACAACACAAAGCTGGGGCGGGAGTGGAAATAAAAAAGGTTGGTATGAAAAACCCAGTTCTGTAGAACCTAAAGCTAGAGCCAGTGGACCCCTGTAGGCCTGTACCAGGGGACTGGCCACAGTTTAGGCCTTATCACCACTCTCACAGATAGTCTCTGTGGTTTCACTCAGTGGAGCTTGGTGTCTCTTTGCGAATTTAGGTTTATATCTTTAAATGTCATGGGGTCCTTTTTTTGATAAACTCACCATCACTTTCAAATCTTTTCAAGTCATTGTCCTATAAGCCTTTATGCACATAAACTATTGTAAACAGCTGTGTCACAAAACCGGTTTTCCTCTTTTGCACGGAACGTTCCATTTCCACCCCACAGTGCCCTGCCTCCCCGCAGCTTACACTCATAGCTGTTTCTCATGGCTTCACGGGAGAACGTGCTCAATCTCCTCTACGGTCAGGCCTTGGGCCACTTCCTAGACTTTGCCACTACAAACGCCACTGCACGGAACCTCTTTTTTACCTGGATGGGGAAGGGCCCTTTCTCAGGGTGTGTGCCCAGGCCAAGGGTGGGAACAGGGAAGTCTCGTAGACAGGCCAGGAAGTCTAGCTGAATTAAGCTCGTTCATGTGAGCTGTTTCTTGGTTGGGGCCGCCACGGTCTTGCCACGGTCACAGCAGTAACAAGGCGCTCAAACTGCCGCACGCAGCTGCCCCTCCTGGGCTTCAGCCCCTAGAGGACCGGGCTCTAGAGTTCACATTTGCGAACCTCGTGCTTGTTCTCAGATCCTGGTTTCAAGCCCTTTGGGTGAGCTCTTGGCCGCAGTGTGGGGTGCATGCACACAAGGAACACCCAGGGATGTTGTTCAGAATGCCCATACACAGCCCTGTCTCAAGAGACCGATTCCAGACGACTGTGGGGCTGAGGGAATCTGCCTTTCAATACATCACCCGCCACATATACACCCAATCAAGACGTGGTGGTCAAGGACAGGATCCTTCAGAACTGTGCCATCACAGGGCATGTTACTGTGCCCCGAGAGTCAGCCAACCTAGACACAGCCTTGCTCCCCCGGAGGTCTCAAGGACAGCTGTCTCAACAACAGCCTGAACCAGCAGTGGCTCAGATGTAATCAAACAGACAACAGAAAAGGCCAGACTGATTGTGCCTCTGTGTCTCCTTGTCACACAGAGACCCTGCTCATTTTTTGGCCAAGCAGCAATAAACAAAACTCTTACCACCTGGCAGCTTTGGAAGGGTGTTCTCCACGGCCAGATGCCAGAGGGGCAACAGCTGTAAACCCACCCAGTGTGCTATATGAGCACACTTCCAGAGGGCCCCTTTCTGACCCCTCTCCCATGGACGCCTGCGAGAGGGGCGTTCCCTCCTGGCGGCAGAAGGGCAGCACTGGAAGGAGCCTGCGAGACCGTCAGGTACAGCCCCTTCTTTGACACATGAGGAAGCACAGGCAGGCAGGCTGAGCAACCACCCCCAAGTCACAGCTAGTTAGCAGCAGAGGTGCAAATGGAACCAAGTCATCTGACTCACAGATGGTCAGTTCAGGTCAATAGCTTTGGAGCACAAAGTACATGCCAAGCACTGCGGGTGTGGAAACGAGCAAGGTGAACACCATGGCTCCATTCCTACCCCACGGAACCCACAGTGTAGCAGGGAAAGATATTCAACACAGAATAACACAGCCAATTCCATGTATGATGGGAGCTATGGAGAGACAGGAGCCATGACAGCACAGCATGGAGCCAGGGGAAGGTTCTGGAGGAAAAGAAATTCAGCTGAAACCCGAATGGTGAACAGGCAGGTGAAGGTGGCCTCTGTGTCCTGGGAGAACATTCCAGGCAGAGGGAACAGAGAGTACCAGGCGGGTGTGGGGTCTGAGGCATGGCTGGGGTACTGAAAAAAGCTGAGTGGAGGGCAAGTGGGAGATGGCAAAACAAGATAAAGGCTGGCAGCTTGGCAGGGGACCAAACCCTAGAGGACCTAACAAGACCAAGGAAAGCAGGTGACAAGCTCCTAGGTAAATTTAGTTTGAAGCAGAGGAGTAGGTGGCTCCATGTGGGGCATTTGGGAGCAGGAGCTGAAGAGGGAGGGACCAGGTGGAGGCTGCAGCGGCCGGGGCTCGGAGCACGCCAGTGGAGAGCTGAAGGCACAGATCCAGCAGGGAGACAGTCAGGCCTTGGTGAGGTTGGGGAGGAGAGAGGGAAGGTCCTGGGCCACTCCCAGGTTTCCTCTGCGCACCCACCCGTATCTCCCTTTGAAACGTCTTCCAGATTGACAGAGTCTTCTCCTCTTAGGCCTTTAACACCTTAGGCCTGGATTACCTTCTCCCTCTACCGACTTGCTTCTGCAGAATCTGACCTGTCACTAAACACTCCCTGCTAATTGTTTCCCCACAGCCTACGGGGTCAAAGACAACTGTTGCAGTCCTCTGACTGCAGTCAACCAGTCTCTCCAGATGCCCTCACCCTTGCGGGGCCGGCCCGGTCTCTCTGCCCTGCGGCTCTGGAAGGCCGTCTAGCTCTCTCCCAGGTACTCCTCTCTCGACAGAGAGGGAAACAAGCTCCCTCAGTTTGGGCCCAGGCTATTCCACCTCCTTACATGCGGGCACAGCCCACGCCTGTGGGGCTCTTTGGGATTACCTTTCAGGACTCTGACAATTCAGCCTGGCAATGAGATGCTAATGACAAAGAGAAAGCATGGTTCAAATGCCCAGACTAAGTTATTTCAACTACCGTCTTCCCTGCCTCACAAATACATGTTTTCCTAAAGCTTCTGCAGGATAAGTGGAAAAAGTTTGGAGAGCATCTTTTCAGATGAGCAGTGTCCATCTCACACTTTCTTTTGTGTTCTGCATTATTCTCTCTTACACGGCTCACGTAAAGCTCAGTGGGTGAGCGGTAAGTTCTAGCACCTTCGCCTGAACCCTGTCTTGGATCCTCACAGGTCAGGGTTGCTAGGAGAGGCCCAGAATGGGAGAGAGAACACCACGGAGAGCAGAGCCAGCTCGGGCATCCCACCTGTTTGACGGGTGGCCTGGAGAGCAGAGCACTGGACACTGAGCAGGGAAAAGAAGGGGTGAGCTCCTCCTCCCCCAAGCCCCTCAGAAAATGGGAAACTCAGAGCAGACAGGAACAGAGGCGGAGAGAGACCAGGAGGGGCTCCACAGGCGGTTCCTGAGCAACTAAAGGGGGGTCGGAACTCTAGGCCTCCCTGCGTAAAGTAGTGTCACAGAAACACACACAGAGGGCTGGAAGGGAAATGCCCAGAGTATCTCTTGGTGATGAGATCTCAGAGGGTTTTTTTTCCTTTTGTTTTGGTTTTCTATTTTTTCTACAAAGAACCTACATTATATTTGTAATAACGTGGTCATATATGTGTATCCACAGTGTACACACAAACAGCAAGGGCGAGGGGCTTAGTGCTTGTCCCTGGAGATGGGGGGAGCTCCCTGCATCAAGGGGACGAGATTCCTGTGGAGGTCAACAGGGACCGAGGACCTGTTGCTGGGAGGGGCTAGGCTCAGAAAGCTGCCTTATCTATTTTTTGGTACTATTACAGCAATAACAGCCCTACGGAGACCTTTCTCACAGCAACTCTGCGTGCGGGCCAAAGCACGGATTATCTTCATTTCATGGGTGAATAAGCAGAGGCTAGAAGAGGTGACAAGACTGTTTAAGTTCATGTGGCTGTTTCCCAACTCACCTTCTGAGATCAAAGCAGAGAACTGAGCCCCAAGTACTGAGATTCCATACCATGCACTGCTTTCAGTCTGCGAGAGAACTTTACAAACCCCTTCCCACTGTGTGGTTTGTCGTTTCATGGCTTTGTCCCTGACATTATTCTTGCCACCGTGCACACCACGGCAGGTATCTCAAGATTCCACAAACAACTGTGTCCCCATGCCAGGAGCTCACACCTGCCCGCCTTATCATTGCAGGTGCAGAATGTCTACCCCCATGGCCAAAGGCTTATTTCGGCCTTAAAAACACACCAGGTTCTTCTTGTCCAATGAAAGGTCCTCCTACCCGTTGGCTCAAAACCCACCCAAACTGGTAGAAGAACAAGGATGGGATTTTATTTTTTGTGGTTCTTGTGGTTTTAAAAACCCACCTTACTTTTAAACAGACCGTGCAAAAAGAGTCCTACACATGAAGATAAGAAAAAACCTCAGCCCCAAAGAGAACCACATTAAAAACGTCTTTTGAACACAGTCACCCGGGGGAGGAGCGTGTGGGACAGGACGCCTCTGGTTTCCTGGTGCAGAGGTTGACTAGATGATTCCGAAGAAACAGTGTTGGACGTCTAAATCCACCACGGACAATTCGCCTTCCTCCTCCGCTTCAAGATCCTTGTTTAGATGCCTGAGCTTCCAGACGCTACTCCTGGTTTTCAAACAAACCCCGCTCCCGAGAGTTTTGCGGTTCTGGTAACTTTTGCTCGCTCCGCCGCCATCCGCACCCAGAGAAGGCCCCCGGGGCGAGCCCCGTTGGAGAGCAGGTCCCCGCTCCCCGGCGGCCCCGGCGCCGGCCAGGACGCACGCGGAGGCGCGAGGACGCGCCCGCCGGCTCTGGGCACCGTCCCCCCGGCTCGCTCTGCCTCACCCTCCCCAGGTCTCCCGGGCCACTCGGTCCCCGGGCCCCGCCCCCGCCGGGACCAGCCTCCGACCACGGCCGCCTCACTCACCGCGGGACCCGCCAGGACCAGGAGCGCCCGCAGCTCCTCTCGGAAGTCGGACAGCGGCAGGCGGCCCGGCGCGCGACGCTCGGGGGTGGCCCTCCGGCCGCGAGGCCCCGGCTCCTCGGGGGCCTCCATGTGCCTGGCGTCGTGCGGCCGGGGAGCGCGGGCACGGCCGCCGGGAGGGCGCAGGGCCGGCCCCCGCCAGTCCCCGCCCCGGGCCGCCCGCCGCGCGCCCGCAGCCTGGGGCCCCGCTGAGCGCGCCGCCGGCCGGTCTGCGATCTCGCGCGCCCCTCGCGCCTCCGCACCGTTGTGGACGCCCGCGGTTCTTGCAAAGGCCCACGATCTCCCGGACTTGGAAGGCAAAGTTTGGAAAAGCCCTAGAAACAAACGGAAAGCATTGCAGGGGCTGGGTCCTCCGAGCCTGGAACGCCAGGGCATGCCCGGGCTGTGCGCCTCCCCTGGGAGTCCCGCGGTCTGAAACGTGTGGCGTGGAAGAACCTAGCGTTCTCACCCCGTGACCCGGCTAGCGGCCAGCCAGGGGCGCAGCGCGGACACCTCCCTCCCGGCCTTATGGTACCCGCTCCACAGGTTGCACTCACCACGTGCTTTGAGACTGGGTTCGGATTTTGCAGCCTGCTTTCCTCCCACCACTAAGTTCAATTAAAGAACTTAGAATCTACCAGGAGAGGACAACAAGCCCGCACTTTCCAAGTAAGACAGCTCATGTTCCCTGGTCTTGGATATTTATCCATCGGCCTGGGATGGGGAACAAGAAGCTGTGAGCGTTAGCAAATGTGGATTCACGAGACACCTGATGAGTTCCACGTGGGAGACGTGGGCAACTTGCTGCCTCCTAGAGCCTGTTTCCTCATTTGTAAACTCGAAATAGTATCTAAATCGCTGGTTATTGTGAGGATTAAATGAGATTGTATAGATGGGCCATGTGTTCTCAGCCTAGTACACACTATTTGCCTAACAAATGTTTTTACCAAGACGAGGATGATTTCTGTGAGGATGATTTCTGTCGTAGTCAAAGTTCCTTCTGTTGTAAGTGACCCAGCTTAAGCAAAGAAAACAGAAAACGTCAATTTTGGGGCTCACATACCCAGGGAGTTTGGAGTGAGGAATTTAAAGATGTGATCATTATCATTCCTCTCCCCATCTCTCTTCCCCTCCCTCCTCTCCCACCGTTTTTGATTCTCTCCTTGGCTTCATTCTTTCTCTGCAAAGGACCTGTCTTTTCCTGGGCAAGGGAGTGTGGCCTCCAGCGAATGTCATTCCTCCATTTCCCCCTCTCTAAGCCAGAAGATCAGACCTTCCCCTCCTCTTCTAGCTACAAACAAACGAAAAACAGGGAGAAAAGTGGTTGGCCTGCATCGGTTTCTGGCCCACCATTAGAGCAATCACCCTGGCCGGGAAAATAGAGTCTTATGTTTGGCTCGACCTGGACCATGTGCTCAGCTCTGTACCAAAACAGTTGGGTAGTATCTGTGACTGGCGATAGTCCCACCAGAATTACACTACAGAGTGGAGGAGGAGGAGTTTCCCAAAAGAAATGAGGGTCCCAACGGACAAAAATCCTAGGATGTACACTAGATCGTCGGTCACTGCTGTTCTTTAATAGTCTTCTGGAATCCTAGCCAATGTAATAAGACTTGAAACAGAAAAGTAATATGTAAACATTGGGAAAGAAGAGACAAAAACACTACTTGCAGCTATAATTCCAGACGATACAAAGAAATCAAATGGGGGGAAAAAAGCTAATAGAATTAATAAAGGGGTTTAATAAAGTCAGTACAAAAGTTCTTCAAGAGATAATATCAGTCCTTTATATTGGTAATAACATATATGAAAATATTGGAAGAAGAAATTTCTTTCACAATAGCGACAAATAAACACTCCTTTGATGCAGAGCACAGCTCCCCACCCCTCAAAGGTGGGCTGTGTACAGTGACTTCCTTCCTAAGAGCGCAGTATGGAAAGGGGAAAAAAAGAGTAACTTTACAGTGGAGAAAGCTGGCAAAATCTGCCTCCACCAGATGATCATGGTCAATATCAAACGGTGGTAACTGACGCCGGTAGTATGTATCTGTCTTAGCTTCCTAGGGCTGCCATGACAAATTACCACGAACGATTTAAAACAACACAAGTTTATTCTCTCACAGTTCTGGAGGCCAGAAGTCGGAGACCCAGAGTTGGCAGGGTTGGTTCCCTCTTGGGGGCTCAGAGGAAGCACCTGCTCCGTGCTTCTCTCCTAGCTTCTGGTAGTTGCCTGCAAACTTTGGCATTCCTTGGTTGGTGGTAAAATTCCAATCTTTGCCGTCATGTGGCATTCTCCCTGTATGGCTGCCTCTGGGTCTCTGTTTAGTCTGCTTATAAGAACACCAGCCATTGATGGAAGCAGGGCCCGCCCTAATCTATATGATCTCATCTTAATTTCATCACATCTACAAAGACTTTATTTCCAAATAAAGTCACGTTCTGAGGTTCCAGGTAGAGATGAATTGGGGGGACACCATTCAACCAAATATAGTACCCTTGATATGATGTCATGAAAATGACACTTTACCTCCTCCAGAAACCGCCCCCCCACCCCCTGCCGGTCTAATCATTAGAAAAACATCAGACAAATCCCAATTGAGGGACATTCTACAAAATACCTGACCAGCGCTCCTCAAAACTGTCAAGGTCAACAGAAACAAGGACATTCTGAAAAACTGTCACAGCCAAGGGGAGCCTAAGGAGCCATGACAATGAAATGTAAGGTGGTATCTGATGAGGATTTTTAGGCTGCTTAATTTTAAAATGGCTTATGATGAGGATTTTTAGGCTGGTTAGTTTTAAAACTACAGATGAGATTCAGGCTCCAAGGAGTGGACTTTGTTTGCCCCTTTGTTGGGAAACATTTACATTTCTAAGGGAAACCTCTATCTGTGAAGATGCCTCCCTCTCTGTGCCAGGAAGAGGGGGGGGATGGTCTTATCTCTAGAGGCTCTTGGTCAATGCCAGAGGCAAGAATTTAAGTTGGTTGCTGTCTGGCAATCTCATGTAACTGGTTTAGGGTGGTGGCGTCTAACCTTTCTAACCTTTACTTAATCCGATTTGATTCTTGTCTAAAAGTCATGGGATCACCCAATGACCAGACCCCACCCGCACTGATACCATTTTAACTTTTTTTCATGTTCTTTCCTTTGTCTTGTAAAGAGATGAATCATATACCTATGCCTTATAAAATTAGCCCTAACCCTCAACTCGGGGCAGCAGCAGGAGCTCTGACTGCCCGTGGGTCCTGTCCCCACGCACCAGCTCTGCCTGCCCATGGGTCCTGTCCCCATGCCAGCGGGGGCAGCAGCAGTGGCTCTGCCTGCCCATGGGCTCTGTCCCCATGCCAGCGGGGGCAGCATAAGCGGCAGCAGCAGAAGCTCTGACTGCCCATGGGTCCTGTCCCCATGCTACACTATTCTCTAAATAAAAAGAGCACTACTGCCAGATCTTGAGAGTCTAAGAAATCTTTCTTTCGACTCCTCGGCTCACCGACCCCGCATCAGTATCCTGGATGAAACCTTGGAACAGGAAAAGGAAGTTAGGTAAGAACTAAGGAACTCTAAAGAAAGCATAGACTTTAGTTAGTAATAATGTGTCAATATCAAGTGAGCTCCTCAAAGTTTTGTTTAAAGAGAACTACAGCATCTCCTCCAATTTCTGGAGCAAATAGCTAGAAAATTCCCTGCAGAGATTCAGCTCTTGACAGCAGGTGAAACCAACATGGAATTGGGGATCTGGGGAACTCTTTGAAGTTTTCCACTTGCAGAGAGAACTGAAAGCAACACCTGTAGCTTTCAGATGTCATCTGGGGATTACATCTAATGAGGAATAACATGCGTATGAAACTGTTTGACCTGTCTCTGTGTTTTGGTGCTCTCCAATTTTTATCCCATTGGGATTAAAAGAATCGAAGCTAACCTTCAGTGCTGTGGCAGAGCCTCAAAATAATGCCAAAGGATAATTTTAGTATGATGTATATGTGTCATCTATTTATTAATTTTAGAAAAGCTTTGAATTAGTTAGAAGCACCTGATGCTCCTGAAGAGGACCAGTCCTTTTCAATTAATATATAGATTCCAGTCCACTCCAATATATTTCATACTTTTTAAAAAATTTAATAGTGAGTCTAGAAGTATTTGAGAGTATGAACAGGCAATATAAAGAAAAAATTTTTTTTTAAAAAAAGGAAAGTAATGGGGAGAGACGTAGCTCTATCAGCTGATAAATAGTTTTTAAAACAATACGCAGTTAGCACAAGACTAGACCACTAGATCGAGAGAGCAGGAGACCTTGTCCATAGGCCTTGTCTGACATTAGAATGTTACATATGTGAAGGGTCATTGGAATTAATGAAGAAGGAAAGGATTACATTATACGTGGTCATGAAAAAACCTGCTTGACTTGGACAGTTTTGGGATTTTGATTGACATTGTATTATACCTGCAGGTTTATTCAGAAAGGATGCGCCTCATTAAAATCCTGAGTCTTCTAGTTCAATCTTACCCCTAGTCCAATCAGTTTCCAGTTCCCCTAGATGAGTAATTGATTGACTTTGCTGATGATGTTTGATAAATAGTCTTTTTCTTTTTCTTTATTTTTGCTTTGGGGAATATTAGCCCTCAGCTAGTATCTGTGCCAATCTCCCTCTATTTTTTGTATGTGGGATACCTCCACAGCATGGCTGGTGAGTGGAGTAGATCTGCACCTGGCACCCAAATCAGCAAACCTGGGCCACTGAAGGAGAGTGTGTAGAACTTTAACCACTCGGCCACGGGGCCAGGCCCTTGATAAATAGTCATTATTATGTTCCTATGTGGCCCTTTTTTTTTTTTTTTTTGAGGAAGATTAGCCTTGAGCTAACATATGCCACCAATCCTCCTCTTTTTGCTGAGGAAGACTGGTCCTGAGCTCACATCCGTGCCCATCTTCCTCTACTTTATATGTGGGATGCCTACCACAGCATGGCTTGACAAGCGGTATGTAGGTCCGCACCTGGGATCCAAACCAGCAAACCCCGGGCCGCCAAAGTGGAACGTGTGAACTTAATCTCGAACTTAACTGCTGCACCACCAGGCCGGCCCCATCCTATGTGGCTCTTAATTTGCTAAGAGATTTTTTTTTTAGTCATGTATGGAAGTTGAATTTTATCAGATTTTTTTCAGTACTAAGTGGAGACATATAAAAAAGTCTTACCTATGAGCATAGATACAGCTGTCTCTGTCCGATTTTAGGTTATCAAGATCATTTACAACCTTACAGAATCCGTTGTGAAGCTTTCTGTCTGTTTTTGTGCTCTATAAGTATTCAAATAGCATAAGAACTATCTGTTCTTTGAACAGATAATTGAAGGCACTCACATAGAGGACCATCTGATGCCTTTTTTGCAAAATATACTTTATTTAAAAATAGGAAGAGGGGCTGGCCCCGTGGCCGAGTGGTTAAGTTCGCACGCTCCGCTGCAGGCGGCCCAGTGTTTCGTTGGATCGAATCCTGGGCGCGGACATGGCACTGCTCATCAGACCACGCTGAGGCAGCGTCCCACATGCCACAACTAGAAGGACCCACAACGAAATATACAACTATGTACCGGGGGGCTTTGGGGAGAAAAAGGAGAAAAATAAAATCTTTAAAAAAAAAAAGAAATAGGAAGAGAAAAAAGTTTCAATTTCTTCTGAGGTTGGTGGCCTATTCAGATTCTGTACCCGTTCTTGAATTGATTTTGGCCGATTGTGATTAATGTTTATAGACGGCAGCTGGAACAAATGACCACAAACTTAGTGACTTAACACCATTCAAAATTACCTCACAGAGGTCAGGAGTCTGAAGTGAGTTATACGGGGCTAAAATCAAGGTGTCAGCAGGGCTGCACTCCTCCTGGAGGCTGTAGAGAAGCATCGTTTCCTAGGCCTTTTCGAGCCTCTGGAGGTCGCCTGCATTCCTTGGCTCCTGGCCTCTCCCTCCATCTTCCAAGTTCATTGTTCCACCTCTGCTCTGTCATGGCAGCTCCTTTTTCTGACATTGACCTCCTTGCTCTCCTCTTATAAGACCTCTTGTGACCTTTCTATCTTTGGGGGGCCATTATTCTGCATCCCACACTCACCATTTTCTCAACATGTCTCTGGCTTCCCTGTATTATTTATTTCGATTAACTTTTCATTGTATAGTGAGTATTTTCCCAAGTAGCCATTTTTCAGAAAGGATATGCAGTGTATACTTTATGAATCCTTGCATGTCATCATTTTAGCGCTACTCCGTTGCTTCTGGCATTAAGAGTTACCCATGAAAAGTCCAGGGCTGCTCTGATTCTTTCTCCTGTAGGGAACTATGGTGGTCACTGTGGTTAACTTTCCAATGTTCTTTTCAGCCTGAATGCTCCACCTTAGCCAGTCACAATCATCTCATTTTCCTTGTCGGGGCTCTGTGTAGGAGAGGACACACATGCCCCAATTCTAGCCATGAAACATGAGAGGAAATCTGATGGAGTTTCTGGGAAAGATATCCTCGTTTCTAAGAAAGAGTCGTTGAAGGAAAAGACCTTTATTTTCCCCTTCGGATGTCACTGTACCTGCATGTGAGGCCTAGAAGTCTAGCTCTCATGCTACCAGCCTACGGATGAAGCCAATGTCAGAAAAGGGCAAAGCCGAGAGAATCACACATTTGAAAGGAAGGCTCAGGGAGAGTGCATATAGACCATTGTAAAGGGCAGATGACTATTGTTTACAAGAAGGGGAAAAGCTTTTTGAAGACTGAGATATGGTGACATAAAAAGAAATATGTATTTGGTCTTCGTCCTGTTTCAGGCACAGAGCTCCTAAAACCCCTGGAATTTCCTAAGTGGTGAGTGATGAAGATGTCTTTTGTTGTGTTAACGGGGTGACTTTGGGAAAGCTCCTAAGTAACCTAAGGATGTTTGGAGGATTGGAACTTTCAGTCCCACTCCCTGACCTCTGGTGGGGGGAGAGGGGCTGGAGGTTGAATAGATAACCAATGGCCTATGATTTAATCAATCGTGCCTTTGTGATGAAGCCTCCATAAAAACTCAAAAGGATGGGGTTCAGGGAGCTTCAAGGTTGCGGAC